AAGAGACATGAAAGGAGAAAACAATGGAGGCGCTGTCAAGCATCTCAAAAGATGAATTTAGATAATGTTTTGAAAAATGGAATAAAAGACTAGACAAGTGTATTAGTGTAAGTGGAGAGTACTTTGAAGGGGATTGAAGGTTTGTGCTTAAAATTTGAATAAATAAGTAAAAAAAAATAAGTTCGGTTTCTTTTGGGTACCCCCTCGTATGAATATATGTGTTTTTGTTTATATGTGGGGGATGAGGTATATGGTTTCATATCTTGTGTTGATGTGGTATGTGTTTTGGGCTTAAGGAGCCACAACACATTGTAAGAAATGATGAATGTGTGGCATGTGCATATTGCCTGTTGTGGTGACTAAATAAAGAAATTTCACATACAAGATATCAGGCTATGATGCATTATTTCCATTTTTAATCTGTGAATGTTGATATTTTGTGGAGGCGTAAGGAATGTGGGCTTAACAACAGGGACCCTTTTCTGTATCTGCTGTGACCTGGACAAGTTGCCCTAATATGTTGGCCTCTGGGCTTGCTGACTGAACATGCATGCTATAGGTGGACATTAGAAATGTGGACCNTAACAACAGGGACCCTTTTCTGTATCTGCTGTGACCTGGACAAGTTATCCTAATATGTTGGCCTCTGGGCTTGCTGACTGTACTGCAGGTCTGAACATGCATGCTATAGGTGGACATTAGAAATGTGGACTGGCCAAATAACCTGCAGCAACCTCTCAGATAATCTCCTTGTAGGATGTGCCTGTGGTCCTGTATGGGTGTGATACTTAATGGAGGAACACAGACTGAAGGTGTTTGAGAACAGGGTGTTGAGGAGATTATTTGGACCGAAGAGAGATGAAGTGACAGGAGGTTGGAGAAAAGTGCACAATGAGGAGCTTCATAACTTGTACTCTTCTTCAAGTATAATTAGAATCATCAAGTCAAGGAGGATGAGGTGAGCAGGGCATGTAGTACAAATGGGGGAGATGAGGAATGCATATAGGATATTGGTGGGAAAGCCAGAAGGAAAGAGACCACTGGGAAGACCAAGGTGTAGGTGGGTGGACAATGATAAAACAGATCTTAGATAGATAGGAGGGCATGGTATGGATTGGACTGATCTGGCTCAGGACAGGGACCAGTGGAAGGCTCTTGTGAACACAGTAATGAACTTCTGGGTTCCATAAAATGCTGGGAAATTCTTGAGTAGCTATAGAATTGGTGGCTCCTCCAGAAGGGCTCAGGCCCATGAGTAAGTAAGGATGTGGCTACACAAACATGTTCACATTATCATCTTATTGTTTTATATATTCTGTGCATTTTTCTTGCATGATACTCACATAGTGCAACTCACAATACTATAAAATCAAGAACTGACAGATTTTTCTGTTTTGAATACTGCTTTCAGTACTGCATATCACTGCTACCTAAGTGCTACATACCTAAGTGTGATTAGCGGGACATGATGTTCGGACAACAACTGAACCTCCTCTTCACCAGCTCCTGATCTCCGATCACTCTGCATGTGACTGGTATGGGTCTTCACTGGTAACAGCAACCTCTGCTGAGAATCCACGCTTTCTCCATGAGTGAACTGCATAACATAAGAAGTGTTAATGGACTATTCTGTTCCTTTTAATCACATTAACATTAATCCAAAAGTCAAAAGAAAACATAAACTTGTGCAACTGATCTCTAATGGCTATGCATCAGACCATGCACACATTCCAGCTGGCACTAGCCCGAAGATAAAACCCTCTTACCAACCCCAGCAGTACTTGTTAACTTAACCTTCTGCCTACCAAGCCTTTGTCACAGAACACCTGCTAAAAGTTCCAAGTCTATTTACAATATAAACCCCCATCAAGCAAGAACAACTCAAGCCTCCAGCTCCATAGCAGCATGCAATTTAAATCCCACCCATGAGGGTTGACACATGTATCCCGAGCCAATTCAGTTGGTACTTTGCATACAAAGAGTTAAACACCCCTATTCCTGGATGATAAGGATCAATATAGCACCATCAAGCTTAAACACTTGTAATCACAACTAAAATCCCTAACCATAAGCAACATCACAATTGACTTCGTCAACATGAGAAAATGTCTTCGCGAATTACCTGTGGATTTTCTATGATGCGAACATTGCACCAATCACGTGACACCTGCCCATTAGGTATCCGTCCATTGGTAAGCAGTGGGTGCATCAGTCCATTGACTTGCCCATTCGGGTATCCACCCTGTACATCATCACAGTTCAGATATGATAAAGCAATACTCAACAATTCAAAAGATATCGACAGTGCTACATGTATGTCAGCTCTTTAGCTCTTCGCATACTGGCAGTTTACAACAAACCTGTGCTAAAATCTATTTGGGCAATCACCCATTTCAATGTTGAGTTAAAAACCAAAGGTTCATAGATCTCCTATGCCTCCATCACAGGGTCATAAAATCTTCAAATATTACATATTTTCAAATTTAAATAGGATGGGAGGTTAATGCAGGAGCCACAGTGAACTGTGCATAAACTGGCTGAGCTGTTAATATTCGAAAAGCAGGACATTAGGACTAAAAACCATCAATTAACCTTTATCGGACGGGCCATTTAATTTCCGGTAGGGGCAGCTGGACGGAGTTTATTTAAATACCGGCCCTTCTAGGGCAATGGAATTGTAAGCATGTTTCTAAAAATGGTGTAATTTCTACATTTTTTATGATAAACGAACGAAATGAACGCTCCTTTAATGTAGAAAGAATATAGAATCAGATTTTCTAATTTACAGATTTTAATATCTGTAAAAAAATTTTACACTCGCTCAAAAAAAAAATCCCGAAATTCATACATTTTCTGCACAATGCGTTCTAGCAGTGTAATTCATTTTCTGCACCATGCGTTTTAGCAGT